AAAAAATACGTTGAAAATCTTTTTCACTACTAGTATGCCTTAGGTGCATCTTACCTAGTCTGTAGTGAATTGTATCATGTTCCCGAAGATAAAACCAGGTAAAACATGGTAAAACTTGCGTTCTAGCTGTCTTAAAAAACGCTCTTTAGAGGTGTTTTCTTATCCCTAACATTGGTTCTCTTTGATAACGGCAAGACTTGATTATATTATGTTCTCGAAGAAAAGCTGAGTAAAATATAATGTAACCAGGGCCGGAAAACTACTGCAAACTCCGAGAAATATGATGTATGGCTTTCTGNGCTTTCTGATAGTATGCGTCTGAATTCTCAGTGATATCTGTGCATTTCTAATTAGTCATTCCATACAAAAAAATTAGCTAATGGAACCTTATCTTTCATGTTTGGCGCCGTTTCTATGATCGGCGGACATGAATTTTTAATTAGTGTAGGAAGCGCTTTCTTTCACCCGCTTTGCGCTTATTCTACGCGCTGGAATATGCTGAATTCAAAAGGTGATTGTTTTCATACGGCGCCGACTCTTTGCTCGCTAATTAAAACTTGGCGCCTAAAATTGAATTGGCTTGATTTCAGCTTTAAATTTGTACAAATTAGCAAACAATGGTATAAAGATAATCAATCAATTATATTGTCGTGGAATGAATTTAAAACACAAATCAAGAAGGCCTATACCTCAACTTATGAAATCACAATTGCTTTTCAATGTTTAAAAAATTATCAACAAACTAATACTCAAATAGTTAAGCAATATTATACAGAAGTAATAAAATTGTGTCGGGAAGCGGATCTCAAAATGTCTGAACAAATCTAACTGCAGCATTTACTGGACAATTTGAAACCATCCATTAAATTAAAACTTATTGAGAAAAATCCGAAAACAGGTGCGGAGTTTCTTGAGTATTCGAAAACTGTGGAAGATTTGAATACATTAATTAGTCGCGATCAAAATTTGAGATTTTGTATCAGATAATTTAACTGTAGTAGCTAATAATGTTTCTCTCCTACAATTGGTTGTCAGACGTACATAGCACCTCCACGGCGCTCTAATAATAATAATCAATCACCACATCAACATAATTCTACTTCCAATCAAATTGAACCATCATATCCCACCAACGAATCGTCTACTCAACCTCAATCTTCTTCACAAAATTATTCTGCAAATAACTACAATTCAAATACAAATCACCAACAACGTCAAAGTCAATCAAAAAGTTGGGCTTCTCGTGGGTATACTCAGCGACGAGGGCAGCATTTCCAATAGCGGAAGCATCCCTCGGTGGTGATGCCTCCGGTAATCATAACATTCAAAATCCATCGCTCACGTTTATTTCAGGTTGTGTCAATAAAAGTCCAATGAAATTAATGATTGATACTGGCGCTACTAACACATTAATTACTGAAAAGGCATTATTATCGACCAATCATAAGAAATTCACTAGCAAATATCCTTGGAAATTATATCAGGCAGATAGACAAATACCATTAGAAGTCGTTGGAGTCGTTCAATTACAAATTCAAATTAAATCTACAAACACAAATATATCGGCTTACGTTGTTAAACACCTTTGTACACCATGTCTTCTTGGAACTGATTATATCAACAAATACAAATTCAAAATTGATGCCGGAGCACAAACTATCACAATAATTAATAATAAAGACGAGATCACTACCAGTATTATCAAACATTCACATTCAATTCGCCCTCCCGTTCGTTTTATCAATCCTGTAATAGTACCACCATACGAAAACGGAAGCGTCTTAGTATCTACAGACATTTCAACCGCAACAACGATATTTCAGCCGTCTTTTAAATTAATACAACGAACTCCGATTCTTTATCAAATAATTTTTTAAACGTACGCAATTATCATACTTCCATTCTGATACAAAATTCTTCTTCTTTTCCACAATATCTATCAAAAAAATTTATTCGTCGGCACAATTCAGTTACCACAATTTTCTGATACACTCTGTGCTTCATCGTCAATGGAAAGAAATAACGACCCTAATTCGGTGGTTGAAACCAATATTCATAACCTTTTAATTCATCTCACATTACTGACATGTTCGCACGTTGGGTCACCGCGCTGGCTCTCCCGAGTTGCACAGTGCAGATGACCGCAGAAATGCTTTTTAAGCATTATATCTGTCGTTATGGAGTTCCAATATCTTTCAAATAACGGATCTCACTTTCACAATCACCTTCTTCGATCACTAGGATATAAAATTGGTGTAAATCATATATTTTCGGCCCCATATCATCCTCAATCGAATGGAGTTGTAGAAAGATTCAACGCAACTTTTATACCACAAATTGCAAAACTACAACATTCTGAACATAATAATTGGGACGAGTACCTCGGCGCAGTGCTCTTTGCCTATAACACCGGCACTCATTCAATAACCAAATTTTCTCCGCATGAACTCCAGTTCGGCAGGAAGCCACGTTTGCCGACCGACCTCCCTCAATCGGACCTGACTTTTCTCAGACCGACTGATTATGTAGTTCAAATAAATAAATCATTGAAATTATACCATACATTTGCACATGAAAATATTTTGAAACAACAGCGTACTTACTTACATAGTTAAAGATCAAGAGACGCAACAAGAACATCACATTCATATCAATGACTTCCGTCCTGTGATGGATGCCAAATTAAATTAATCGCAACGAGCGTAGAATTGTTCATTGAAATTTTCCATTTACTCTGTTTATTTGATTTTAAAAATGTTTTTATTATACGAATTGTTGCCAATGAAGTGAGAGGTGCCGATTAATTTGGATATGGAAGCATTAGATACTTTGTTTATAGACCCGGCCGGACTGTATGCAAATTTCTGACTTGAATTATGAATATTGAGTGACTGGAGGAACTCATCACTTGTCTGACGTATAAACTGAATCGAACGTTGCGGTTGGATCTCTCTATTTCTTAGCGAAATCCGGATAAGATAGGATTCCGCCCATCTAAGGCAGAGTCTATTCATTTCCTCCTAAATGATTATTTACATCATGTTTTTTTCGTTATGTTTAGGAAAATGCCATATAATTATATCTCCGCACCACCATCCTCCTACGATTCTTCACAACCTCCAGAACATCTTACAACCAAACAAAAACGTGTACGGAGACGAAATAAAGCCAGGAAAACTTATAATGAACAATTAAGAACTACAATGAATTTATTTACCGTTAATCCATCATTATTGCAAGCCAACTTCGTTAATTATGCAACAACATCAGAAGAACTAAATTACTTGGTATAACAGCAACAATGTTTTTGATCAAATCAATTTTGTCGACAACGAAATGATCGGGAAACTTTTATCGCAAGAACAGTTTGTCGAAATTGATTTTTCGAAGAAATGAATGATTCATCAAAACTAGCTCAACAGAACAAATTGATCATTTTCGAGAAATATTTTCAGATTTATTTTTGAGAAAAAAACATTTTGAAATTGATCGATTCTCACATTAAAAAATCTCCATTCAGATATTTTCGACGCGTTTCGCATGTTGTTTTTCAATCAATAAAAGATAGATCGTTGAGAAATATTGAACAAAACTTGAAGTCTTTTGTAGTAGTGGAAAATAAATATGGAAATGGAAAATTTCATATGATTTAATCCTAATTTCTGATCAGTCTAAGAATTATTGTTTATTGAATGAAAAATTCTACTTCTTTACCGACAGCAAAGTGCGATTCTCTTTCTTGAAACTTGTACAATGCAATACCGGTCAAATCTGCAATCAATCTGCATCAAATTTTTATTGAAAAAGCGAAAAACAGAAAGGATTGTTTTTACACAAGATAGAAGTCGTATAACCTACGATGCATAAGTATCCGCACAAATGTTGAGACCTCGTGTATTCGAACAGAAAGTGCTAGAAGCCTAATTTTTTCACTCACAGATAGACCAGAGTTTGTACTTTAAAATGCATATTTACAATATAATTGAAGATGTAGTTTGAGATATTTAATTTCAATTTCTTTCAAACGAATGAAACTGACTTATTACCAGGGTAAATTTAGGAATTCTCTCATAGCTTCGCTATGAGTTTGTTTGAGAACTTTGAAATCGGATACGAATTTTGAGCAGCTGTGTAGCTTTGATTGAAAATAAAAACCTTAAGTCCAACGGATGTAGTCCTGCTTACTTATTAAAGTCTCTAGTTATATCGAAATTGGCGCCGAGACGCTATTTTGTACGTGTTTTGTGTTGTGTCCTTTATGAACTCCAAATAGTGTCTTTTTCTTCTGTATCTCATATAGTCGTGTAGGGCTCGAAGTGCTGCATATTTTAGGTCTCTTGAAAAGACTGATGTTCTTGCAGCTTGTTAGAACTTTCGCTACGCACTGTGAAAGGTACTGGGTTTGCTTTTGACACGAATTGGTGATTACTCTGGATGCATAGAAAAATTGGAAACCAATTTTCAGAAAGCCCAGAGTTCGTAGTCTTCCTTTTCCAAGATTGAACTCGCTATATTCTGTTTTAGTGAACATAAAGAAAGCCAAAGTAAGGAAAAGCATGAAAAAATTCACCTTGGTAATAAGTCAGTTTCATTCGTTTGAAAGACATTGAAACTAAATACATCAAACTACATCTTCAATTCTGTTGTGAATATCCATTTTAAAGTACAAGCTCTGGCCTATCTGAGAGTGAAAAAATTAGGCTTCTAGCACTTTCTGTTCGAACACAAGAAGCCTCGACATTTGTGCGGATACTTATGCATCGTAGGTTAATTTAGTAAATCTTACTTATGAAGAAGAACAAAGCTTCTTTTCAAATTAGAATTTCAACAGAAATCGAATTACCGATATGAGAAGAAAAACTGAATCATATGAAGATTTCTGCACTTTGTATGAGAAATAGTTCAAATTTGAATATTGATGATAAATTGTAACTACATGTTGCTTCGACAAGAATGTATGTGAGATGTTTTGCGAATATTTTCCTTTTCTTCTATTATGTCAGAGAATGTTACAGCAACAAGAATAGCAAGCAAGTTTTTCTCCAAAACAACCACAACAATTGAGTGGATAATCATTTTCGTAAATTAACTTTTCGTTTTGTAGAGCAGGATATTGGCAGAATCGAAAGGTATTTCCTATGAAATAAAAAGAAAAAGAAAAGGTAAGAAAAATCTTTTGAATAGATTGTAAATACCTCTTGTCGGATCTTTTTTATTGAGATAATTTTCTCCCATTGTATAATGAATTTCTTCAAAATCCATTCGTTCAATCGAACATTCCATTCGTCGCATGACGATATTCTTTGATCGTGTTGGATTTAAATGTTTCTCATTATAATGTTTGATAACACTCATTTTCAAATCAATACCTGGGGTGTTCTCAATAATTGATTCAACAGTGTTTGCCATGATTGAACCTTCTGACCACGGTACTATTTTTGTTGACCAAAAGACTGTTCGTCTGCCTTTACGAATTCTTTTCTCTGGTAAATATGAATTTTGACAATACCATGTTGATTTTCGTGTATGCCATTTAACAGTCAAGGTAGGTAAATGAAGAAAACCTCCCTGAGCCTTGCAACTTGAGCATCTTATCTTACCTTGGCCTTTACATATAGGACAATATTCCGTTTTCGACCTAGAAAGAGTGAATTTAGTGCATTATTAATCGATGAAACATTCAAAGTCATATTTGATTCGACCGTCTCCCTTGCAATCGTAGTAGGTACATGTGATGAAACATTTTCCTCGACAATCTGAACATCTTGTTAAGTAATTTCCTTCAGGCAATGCTCGACTTTGCTGAAATTTCTTGTCAGTTAATGGAAGACTAAATTCATAATCTCTCCAAATATTTCCGATCCCTTCACCTTGACGTGTAGTTGATTCGACCAATCGACCTTTCACAAAGGAATTTTTTATGGAGAAATAATTGAAAGAAAATAACTGATGCTAGATTAAATCTTAAGAGAGGAATTTCATTATATTACCTAAGGTAGTACTTCCGAGAAGTGTCTCATTTCCCCAAGGATGAGGTTTTTCTTTCCACCATACATGTCTTCCTTCCATCAATATTTTCATATGACATTGATAGGCAACCTTTGATTGAACATCTATCATTTCGGCTTGCATGACAGGGGTTGAAAAATAACACCATTTGGAATCAACGTATTGTTTAAAGTCAGCTAAATGCTTTGGTAATTCTCGTGGTGGGACTTCAGTTACTGATGGAAGCGAAGTTGTGTCTGATAGATCAGCAGGATTCATAATTACTTCCGGAACTACTTTTGTCATTTTTGAAAATTTCAATCAAACAGGTATCTCTGATTGTATTGGAAGGTTTGATTTGCCGAACTTTCTAAACATGATAAGAAAACAGTGACTTGTACTCACGCGATAAGCATCATCAGAGAACATCATAACTACAATCGACATAACGGGTGGCGCAGAATAAAACGGACTATTTTGTATCCTCTATAACTCTGTCAGTTTAAATCTGATCGAGCCAATTTTTTCCCATCAGAATCATCATTCAGTTGTCCACAAAGCCATGTGTAAAAGATTTTTATAAACTACAAAATGGCTAAGTTCTAAAACGAAGAAAAGAGGTCCGAAAATCTTCAACTTTCAAGCACAAAACCCTGTTTTTTCTAAAATTTGCTTTTCATGTGGAGAGCTACGCAAAAACTAAGTCAACCATGTTAAAGTGCATCAAATTCTGGCCAAGACTCATGTCTTTGAGAATTTTTTGATCAAAAAATGAGTAAAAAATTTAGTATAAAATTTTTTCGCTTTTTCGAAAAAACTCTACTTTCATTTCATGTTTTTGATGCCTGCACGAAAACGCATGCCATTCAGTAAAAAAGCGTTATTTTTTTGACGATGTTTTTTTCTTTGAAAACTAGTACACGCGACTACATCCCTGTATACTCGTTCGAGTCATGCAAAGTTTTGTTTGCGGTAGATTTTCGTGAAAACCCAAATTAAGGCGTTTTGGACGCGTTTTCGGAAAATATCGATTTAATAGGCGAAGGCCACTTTCAAACAAAATATTTTCAAGGATATCGGAAAGAGCGTATTTGAAAATGCCAGCAAATGTTTCTCCCTTAATTTAAGCGTGCGTATAAATTGTCGAAACATACTCCAAATGTTAATGCATTTTGAGCTGGAAAGTTGAAGATTTTCGGGCCTCTTTTCTTCGTTTTAGAACTTAGCCATTTTGTAGTTTATAAAAATCTTTTACACATGGTTTTGTGGACAATTGAATGATGATTCTGATGGGAAAAAATTGGCCCGATCAGATTTAAACTGACGAAGTTATAGAGGATACAAAATAGTCCGTTTTATTCTGCGCCAGCCGTTATATCAAACTCGAACAATCAGATTCGACTTTAGGATGACACGCACGATTTTCTTCCACCAATCCGAATAGAAAACTGACAGAGATTTACTCAAGAGTTTCAGGTCTTTTAATATCGACGTCGTGTCTTTCTAATAGTAAAAGCGAAGAACTCCAACTCTTTCTATTTCATAGATATTCAGTTACTGTTTCTCGTTTCTTACTTTATTTCAAAGAAGTAGAGACGAAGTTCACGGACTGATAACACAGCTAAAGATCCGTACTTACTAAAGTGATTGTTATATATCTGAAGACAATGAAAGTGTTGTATCGATACTTTTAGCTCGTAGTTCTTCCACTGATAAGAACCGAGAAAATTACACAAGACACCTTGAAAATTGTGAAGAATTCTGTTTATAAAATCACCATATAGAGACACACGATTTGATCCTTGAAAATGTTTGCTTTCATCATTGAATAATAATGTAGAATAAATAATATTTTTTTAGTGCTGTTTTCTACTTCGCATCGATTGCAAACTGTTAACGAGAGTATTTTTTTGCATTTCAAATTGATAGAATTGTGGCTTCCTTGGATTTTAATTCAACTACAAATGGTTATTCGCTAGTAGAAACGGTTATTCTTCTTAGGACAGCTAGCTTTTCTTTTTAAAATTCATCTTTCCACAAGGAGGACAGAAACCACAGAATTCTGCATAGAGTAAAGAAATACATAAAGTACTTGAATATTTTCCATTTCTTCTGAAACAAATCTAGTTGTGCAGAATGGTTGATTTTTTTCAAAAATAAAGCAAACACATCTCTGCATATCATCGAAAAGAATAAAAAACAACGGATGGGCGAAGTGGAGTTTAAAGGATTCATTGTGTTATTTACATAGTCAGTGATGTTTATTTAATTTCTTTTTTGGATTTTCATTTTTCGTCACTGTAGTTGTGCAGAGTGGTTGACTTTTTTTCAACAATAAAGCAAACACGTCTCTAACGCATCTACATATTCTGCTGATATTTTTGTTGAGTCCGTATGTCGAGCTAACCTATAGTCGCAAAAAAGTTTCAGCCCCAAGGATCCACCCGTTGATCTTTCCGACAACAAATGCTCCTTTTTAGCAACTTTAACACTTTAGATCTCCTGATTCCAAATAGCTGAAGGACTTGGATGCTTTTTACAAGTAGACCTGAATGAGATTTCTTTGCACAAGTCGATCCCTTTTTACCGAGACTGAATCCTTCGCTCGTCGTTCACAATAGGGTGCTTCCGCACAACCTCGCCCACTTTTACACAGACCCCACCACGTTGTAGGCCATGAAAAGCGAAGACTTGCAGTAGAACGAAGACTGCACTTTTCGAAAAGTCATGCCCGCAGATGGTTTCCCAGAGACCCAGAGTCTGAAAAAATGCACTTTTTTAATCGTCCAATTTAGTATTTCTATCCTAGCTCTGTATTTTGAGTCAAATGTTGACTCTTTTTTCACGCAAACGACCAGAAAAACCTCTACAAAATGTGATATCTTGCAGTTAATTCTAAAACGCTTGATTCGACTCAAAACCGTGAAACAAATATTTGAGCTTTTTTCGTAGGTAGGCAGCCTAAAGCGTCCTCTTCACAATCGGCGTCCTTTTAGCTACTTTGAACTATGATGACGTTCAGAATGTATATAGAACCTGATTTTAGTTTTGAGGTTTTCGAGAGAAACATCCTGCTTCGTGGTACTGCCATAGATATTCACCATCGAATAATAGGAGTCGTCACTGCTGACTGCTCTCCATCGGCAGCATACAGTCCGTGGAAAGGCCCTACAACTGCAGGGATGATTGGATGAAATCTGTTGAGTTCTCTGTTGAATATGTACATCAGTTCGCGTATTTGATTCGTATGTGTGTGTCTCAGATTTTATTTTTACTTCTTTTCTTTGTATAGATATTTTAATCCTTTTCCTTAGATGGTTTTTTCCTTTTCTATAGTAAACGATAACAAATATTTCTGTTCTTAAGTGTACTTATGTAAATATAAAGTATGGCGTTCTGTCACCATTTTTCGTTGCCATTAAAGTAAACTAGTAAATACTATTTACTACCAACTGAAGAAGACAAAACTACTTAGACTACTTAGACAAAAGAAGAAATTTTCTACTTTAATCTATATCTCTTCGGGTCATTACAGTCTGAGTTAATGTATGTTCAAACGTGTAAAAACTATAATGAAGTAAAATCATTTTTTCAAAAGATAGGGTCATCGTGTTGCAAACTTTCTTATGAGAGAGGAATTAGTGAAAAGTAATGTCATAAAAAGCATATCAAAATTTGATGATTTTTTTTTAGAGAAGCGGTATTTGGCATTTTTACGTATTCGGAATCAGTATGATGAGTTACGCTGCACGGCGCAAAGATCTCGTCGGGGTACACGCAAAAATGGGGTCTTAGGAGTCCCACTCACGTCAGAATACCACTGCATTCAACGGTATAGTTCATCGTTCAACTTCGAACATGCCGCATTCTATTCGTTCTGCTTGTAATGTCATTTTTCTTTCTGCTTGATTTCTTTCCCTTTTGTACAGGCAAATATAGAAAGGGAATAAAATGAAAAAATTCTTTTTTCATCGAAATATTCACTGCACTCACTATGAAATTACTCTATATTCTGTCAACTTGACAGATTAAAAAGTTAGCAAAAATGGAAGTACCCCTCTCTAGTTTTTAAGAAAATTTACAGTACACAAGTTATACTGTATGCCGAGCGGTTTCTTTAGAAACGGCACAGTCTACTTTTTGAGATACAGAGCTGTCAATATCGCTGTCAATGCACCTTCTGTGTGCAGATAGAAATAGAATAAAGCAAGTAACGACGAAATGAACTAATTTTATGTTTTTATCCAAAGGAAAATCGCACTCGCTATAAAATGAGTGTATATTCTGCAACTTCCCAGACTGAAAAGTTAACAACTTTGAGTGTACCTTTCTCCGTTTTCTACGTTAGTTTGAAGTACACAAGTTGTGCTCTATGCAGATATTTGTGGTTTTCGCTGTTCGACAGGCAAGATCCAAACATATCTTTTCGTAAACAGAGCAGATTCAGGATTCTTACTAAAAGTGGGGTTTTAAGAGGATCTTTATAGTGCAGTTCACTGCTTTTCCAATAATATTGGTTGAAAATGAGTTGGGTGGGTCGATAAATAGGGACAAATACCCGCTATGGCCGATGTTCATCCGATATTTCCTCACCAGGCACTTTAGATGTTTCTGTCTAACACTTCAAATAGGAATTGGGAAATAGTTTACAAAATGTGCCCAAATGATCAGTTAATAAAACGTTTGATGTTTGTTTATAAACGGTATTTTCTTTGCAGAATATTAGGAATAGTATAAATTTCAAAGAATTTTCAGCAAGGTTTACATTTTCACTGTTTAAAACGTACCCATTGGAACTTTTAAATACGTTCAAATTAATTCAACTAATTTCGAGATTTAAAGGAATCTGAACGAATTTAAAAGAAAAGGCGTTCAGATTAATTTAAAAAACTTTTTTGCCTTTAAAATTAATGCACATCAATTTAAATCTTAGAATAAATATAAGAAAAAGTCATAAAATTTAATTCAAATTAATGCAAATCAATTTAAAAAAGGAAAATAAATGCGTTTATACATCTTGAACAGTTTTAATGCACGTAAACTCGTTAAAGGACGAGAACGTATAAGGTTAGAAATCGGCCCACTCTCTTTTTCGAGTAAAAATGGCTTAGTATCAACGAAAAACGACGGAATATCCAAAACATCCAAAAGAAGCGTTCGAGTACCAAAAGAAACAGTAGAATATTATTTCAGCCAACATTTTCTGAAAACCGAAACACTATACTCTTCTCTAAGGATGAGAGAAGTAGCGTTTACTCATCGCCTAGAGTTGGTTTGGAGGCTGCCGAAGTGAATGGTATTGTCGAGAAATTAACAGGGTTTTAGTGAAGAAATGTATCTGATTCCAAATGGGATTGAATATTCCGTTGTTTTTCGTTGATAGGAAGCCATTTTTATTCGAAAAAGAGAGTGGGGTGATTTCTAACCTTATACGTTTCCGTCCTTTTAATAAGTTAAAATGTACTAAAAAGCTTAACACATTTGAACGCCTTAAAATCTAATACGAACGTATTATCATAACTCGTGGTTTCCTTTAGCACAATTTAGTGCAATGGGAAAATACGTAGTTGGAGAAGTGCAGCATATGAAACGTTTGCAGATCGAATCTAGGAAAAGAACTTCAAAAATTGTTCTAATCGAAAAACTCCAACAAACAATATTGCTTTAAAATCTAATGTCTTAAAATGCATTTGGACACACTAAAATCTCTCAACGCCATGAAAGTCTTTCAATGCCTTAAAGTTTAATATGTTCGCATGAATTAAGAAATTTTAACACGTTAAAGTATATCAAAGGAGTTTTACCGCGTTGGAGAGCATTGAGTTTATCAGGCGTTAAAATCAGAAATTAACCAAACACGTTAAACGCGTTTTTGGTTGATTTAATTTTAACGCAAGAATTTAACATGAGACTAACATGCGTTTCTTCGCTAAGCTAACGAGTCAGTTAACGCATGTGAGTTTATTAATATTTCAGAGATGCGCGATTACAATTACAAACTGTATACTTGAAACACAGCTATTATTCCTACAATTCAGAATTCTAGGAATAATTGCAATGTTTGAACTTTACATTTTGTAATTGTAATCGCGCAGCCCTCTAATATTTAATGCTGTTAATTGCGTCAGAAACAGCTAACGCAACTGAAGGAAATTTTTGGCATGAAAAAGTCCATGGGGTCTGATGCAAACGTTTTTGCTCTGATGACAGATATTTTCACTCAAATTTTTTCTACCAAGTCATTCGTGCCAATCGTGCAGTCGTCATTTCTTCCAGTCGCCTTCTGTCCTCTTGCTTTTCACTGCTCAAAGGGATTTCTAGATGGATAACAACCGAAGTATCGTCGCTTCTCGTGCCATCAAAATCAAAACCGGTGATGCCTGTTAAAATTCAGATTGAAAATATAATAAGAAAAGCTGAACGCTGAATGACTGTTACCCGACATAGAAAGGTCGCAAAAATTGTTGAACCAAAAAGAAAGGCAAAGGTCACCTGTTTGGAATTACGTAATACTTTTGATGTGATTTTTGCTTTCGTTCTATTATGTCTATCTCTGGTTTACTTTAGCTGAGATGAATGACGAACAACTACCAATGATTGTTGATCGAATGCAGATAACAAGTGGTCAGATCAGTGACAGAGAAGAAAACGACACTATTGATATCTCATATTTGTCAAGGTTGAAAAAGATGCTTGTTAGTCTTCCAGTGATTTTTCAGGTAACACGGGAGAAGAAAGTTACTGGCGTAACGAAGAAAACTTGGCAGCTGACGTGGGAGATAACGAACAAGAAATATCTATTGATAATGAAACAGACGACGCCCCGGTATTCTCGATATTTGATATAGCTAATATTTTGGAAATATTTAAATTAAAAGAGAATGTATCACGTTCTGGCATGGATAGTTTACTGGCATTGTACGTGTTTTACGTGTGACAAATGTCCCGAAAAATTACATGACATCTACAAGATTGTAGATGAATCAACATCTTTTATCAGAACGAACATATTGTTCGGTCTATCCAACATGCGGAAAATTATCGCGTGGACAGGCTTGGGCGGATAAAAAATGTGATGGTGTGGGTAAGATGTTATCGTGGCTGACGTCAAATTCATTGAACACAATATTAAACTTCAAACTCAACAAATACTTGAACGAGAAACATTATTGAGTCTTCGTACGTCGTCTGCTGCATTGATCGTTATTTATGGTCGACAAAAATATCGACAACTACTTGAAAATGAAATGGATCAAATTATTACACTCACAATGAATTCAGACGGTATTGAAAAACAAAGTGTGAAAAATAACTCAGTGTGGCTATGAACATTTGTGATAAACGAAATTGGTCGTTCAAAACGTTCTCATCTTTCCAATTCTATTATTGGTGGTATTTGGCCGACTAGTACAAAACCGTCAAAAGCACAAATGCAGGAATAACGAGACTGATTGTTAATCAGTTATTGAAATTGGAGAAGAACAAATTTACACCATATGTGTCGAGAATATACTAGAAGAAATTTGTTTAAAAACATTTCTATTGTGTAGATCTGCCGATAAACCTGCTGTGACACTTATTCTAAACACTACGAAATCACATGGATACTACAGCTGTTTTCAAAAATCAGAATTTACATAGATTGTGTCTCACAGCTGGGAACCCTGTTCATAGTACTTTATTTTAGTGCTTGAAATAGAAATGCTTGGATAACTGGCTTAAAATTATATGTATTTTACACAAATTACTGCTTTAGTGAATAGGAGAAACTTTAATAAGACAATCATTCGATAACATTTATTTGAATACTCTGCTGGAAATGAAACACACAAAACAAGTTAAGAGATAGATTTGCCGGTTATGCGTTTGTAAGTAATTCATTACAGAATTATCGCTCTGGCAAAGGGCTTGAAATAATTCGATCGACGTGAAACATTGATGGTAAAACATATTGACTTCTTTTTGCTCAGTGAATCGTAGATTAATCGTGATGGTTTTGATAAATCTGTCAGTTTGGATATATTGACATCTATTAATGAGAAAAATTTGTTACAATTATGTAGCGAAAATCTAACAACAGGAATGATACGAGCAGTTTGAATGAATTTGAGTAATAAAATCGCTACGCCCATGGACGATTTAAATCATTTAGATAAACACTTAAGACATACAGCAAATACACGTCAGACATCGTACAATCCATCAAATTTATCTGAGCAAACACTGAATGCGTATAATATTCTTCGAAAAAGTCGAGAGTAATATTTATTCATCTAGATGCATCTGAATTTTTTTTCTTTGATGGATAAATAAATTTTGTCAATTTAAATTTTTTTCTGCATCTCAATTTATTTTTTGACTAGTTTGTCTGTTTAGCGTTCTTCTTTGCTGATTACGAATATCACCTTTTTAGCCTCAAGAAACCTTTTCTTCATTGAAGAAAAATCGGAAACACTGAAAATACGCGAAAAGTGTCAACATTTTCGGTATTTCGCGTTTCGCGTATTTTCAGTGTTCCCGATTTTTCTTCAACGAAGAAAGAGTTTTTTGAGGCTAAAAAGGTGGTATTCGTGGCAATTCAGAATATGTATAATATATCCAAAAATAAATTTCACTTTAAGTTTGCACGATAATCTGAAAATACATTGCATGTTAACTGCCAAAGGATTTCGGTTAAAAAATACAAGTATGTCTCCATTACTTCAAAATTATATTCCTGATGCTGTTGACACTGCACCCATCAACAATTCATGCGTTATTCGAACAATAGCTAATTATGTGGGCTATTCTAATGACTTATTTTAATATTTAACTGCTGAACAAGATTTAGCTTTGTTTAGCATGACTTCTAGAAACTATTTTATTTCTTTTAGAGCTGATGAGTTAAAGTAATTGATACGAGAAGATCGAATAGAAAATTCGTAAAAGCTCTTTGCACTTTTTCCAAAAATAGTTCATTCTTTACTGGTAGTTTACACCACTACGCCTGTTAATATTTCATCAAAACGGATAAGACAAGACTTTGTGCTGAGCAAAATTCTAAATTTAAAGTCAAATAAACGTTAAAAACTTATTATTCAGTAACTTATAGAACATAAATTATAGAGTCCAGCAATTTCTTGAATTTTTATTCTACCAGTTTGTGTTTTTTGATTATTACAAATGCGTAATGAAGCTAATGTTGCATTTACTCGTAGTATACTGATTATAGAATCAGCACATTCATGTGTTAATTTATTATTCGTCATATTTAGTACATGTAAAGGCTCTTGATTTGCTGTTTTTATCACTATACAAGAACTTTAGTGTTTCTGTAGATTCCTAGATAGCGAGAGAAAAAAATTCTTTTAAAAGAAGTAACCAAGGTCAAAATCCTTTAAGGCTTTTTAACATGACATTCTCATCTATCTACAAGCATAGTGTCATTGAAAATACAGCTCGGTACGTGGACACGTTCCCTCGTTGCCTTGAGTGTTTCTCTATGGTAAGTAAAGTGATAGTTCGCTACGCGGATTGATTTTCCTACCTTGAAATTGAGTAAAAATATAATGATTCTGAATATTTTTACAGTTTAGAAGCAATAAATTTAGAATTGCAGATATTAATGCAGCACCTAATTTAAATCGCATTTTATTAATCAAAAGGTTTTTTTATTTCGACGTTTTGACAAAATATTTGTCATTATCAAGAAAAAACATGTGGTAACGGCGATACTAATGTAAACAAAATTGGATATATAAACTCTCATAAATGCACTACAGGATATATATCTGCTAGACAATGTTGCGAAACATCTAGATAGTAAAAATATAAGTAATACCAGGGAGAGAGAATTGTATAGTTACTGGTAAAAAGGAAAAGAAATATTTCGAAGTAGAGATTAAAAATGAAATCAAACAGATTACATTCATCAGATACATTACATGTGTACTTGTTGAATCTTTTAAACAACGTATAAAAGAGCAGCACGAAGACACTAGTAGTGAAACGCTATATAAATACTCTATTCATCCAGATCTTTGATTATAGTTTTTGAATTCCTTCAGGAAAAACGAAAAGTGGAATTGAACGTACGGTATTATTTAACTGAGCTTCGTAACTTAAAATTGCCAACAATTCTTTTATTAATAATCGATACGGATTATTATCTCTAAGCATAATTCTAAATCGGTCCCAATGTATTTCATGTCCTGTATCTAACATATGTCGTCCTAGAGCTGATTTACTCTGAGTTTTAGTCAGTAAAAAAGAATCATCATCTAAAATTGAGGAATCTGCCACAATTTGTTTGTCTTCAGTTTTTGAGCTGTACGTAACGAACGTCTTAAATTTAATGTATTTGATAATGAAAGTCTTGTTTTAGTTTTAGCGTTTCTGAAAGGTCCGAAACCACTTTGTGTTACAGGTAAGGAAACTGGTAGTGTAGAATAGGTCTTCCCAAGTTCAGGTTTTCAGAACCGATGAACTGTTCAATTCAATTGGTCGAATTCAACTGCTGATTTTAGAAAATTCCGCAGTTAGTTTTTGCGAAAATACTAACCATTTTTGAAAAACACGCAAAAAACTGTTGCATGCCTATTTCGAAGATGCGGATCACAATTCTGAAATTATTTTTTCATTTGATGTTGTACTGCCGGTAAATAAAGAATGGACTCGAATATATTTCTAATAGGGTTTGACAAGAAAGTGGTAGAGGCATCCGATTTCTAGCCAAGACCTGACTGCACCATTTCATCATAAAAGTCATTTTGAAAATCTTTTTTCAAGGGAGATCTTCCAGACGATCTTTGAAAAAGCAGGTCATTACTCAAAAGCTTAAAATATAAATATTTTGATTTTTTCACATAGGTAGATAGCTCAAAGTGTCCTCTTCAACATGCAAGCCAAGTGAGGTGTTGATTTTCAGTGATTCGGGCGTGGCATGGGATTTTCTTGGAGTCTCATGACTAGTACCTGGTGACTTAGCGTGGTCTTAAGCTCACGTGGGACACATGTCATCGACCATGCTAAATCTAGTGACAAAGTTTGTTCTGAGAAAGAACTCAAAAATTGGTGGAGACCAAATGAATTGGTCGAACAGTTCGTTTGAGCGAGCTGAAATTTTTGAACAGTTCGTTTTGAACGAGCTGTGCAAAGTTTCAAGCCATAATTCGAAACTTACTTTTCCTGGTATTGTTGAGGAGAACCACAAGGCTGATGCTTAAGAATACCATATAACCTAAGTATCTCAGCAACAATAAGCTACTGGCACGAAATATTTTCAGCATATTCATAGCTCATTGGGATCTACATGATGCACGTTTCCCCCAAATCCAAAGCGCTTTATCATTTGAATATATTCCCTCGGAAGATTTGTTGTTTTTAAAAAGAACTCTTAATCTTGTTTTCGATAAGTCATCATACTTTATGTTATTGCATTATTATTTGTACTTACAGGTTTTTTGTTTTTATCTTTTATCGATTTTTTTATTGCTTACAAAATATAGTTTTAACAATCAAATATCGTACTAATGCAAATATTTTTCAAAGAAAC